ATCAATTTTATTGTATCTCTCTGGATATTCTATTTTTAGCACAGCTGTAATTAATTTTAATTGTGAGCAATGACTTAAGTACAAAAACATATCTGTCTATTTCCACTGTTCTTAGACTTTTTCTTACTGACTTAACTCAGGGGTAACTTTGCTGGTCCTTTTCTTAGCAGTTATCTAATTTACTAATCTTGCTCTTATGCTTTTTATAAAAGAGTCCAAACACCTTACACTTTTAAAACCAAATACCAATAGGAAAAGGTGTGTATTTGCTAAACCAAAACATTTACTCAGTAATATCCTTGAATAGACAACATGTTAAAAAATCTCACTCCAACTTGCAAGGTCAAAGGAACTGTAGAAGCTGGGTTATAGCTTGCTGAAACTGGTGAGTTAAATAGCTGGTCTGTCTTCATTAAACTGAAGCATGAGAACCAATAGGGGGGGCCTGAAATCAAAACATATGCACATTGTCACTGCCCAAAACAAAGGCATATGAAAGTTCTCTTGGGAATTATAACTATGTGGGCAGAGGGTTTCGCTGGGTCTTGTTTTGAGTAGGAAGTGTGTGTGTGTGTGTGTGTGTGTGTGAGGGAGGGGAGAAATATGCAAAGAATAGAAAGCCACTATATAATCTCAAGAGAGCTGGTAACTGTGAGACCTTAAGAAAAAAATCATCTCTGGAGAAATTTCTTGGATTGGGTGGTGGCTGAATGAGGTTTGGAGCTGTGAGCTGTGTCTGTCATTCAAATCCTCCTGTGCTGAGACACAGAGAAATTTGTGGACTCTTAAATAAAAAGACCCCGATTCCACCATCCATTGCTTTCCCTGACTAATACAGCTTGCAAAACTAACTTCTGCTAGCTGCTGAGGCTGAAGGAGTAGCTAATACAGTAAACAGAGAACTCTCTGCAGCTTTAAATAAGGCAGAATCTGCCACTGACATCAGTGAATTACATCTAAAATTCTACAGTCTTTCATTCTCTTACGTCAATTAAGATTTTTATCAATTGATTTTTCTGTGTGACCAGTTAGTAAAACTTTTCCCATTATACTGAACAGGACAATGACATACCAGTCTTCTCATAGTTATTTCCAATTTTTGCTGTTTTTTTAAAAAAAATAAAAAAAATTTAAAAAATCTAAGTACAGGGTGGTCTAATGAACAAAGCATATGCAAGGAATAAAGCAAGATTTAAGATCTATAGTTGCTTAACTAAATTCCTGCATGAGAAATTATGTGTTTTGTTTGGGACATTATAGCTGCTTTATAGATATATATGAACAGTATGGCTCAAATGCTGTGAAATAGTAGGTATTTTATTAGATATGCTTGCATAGTGTAGATGTAAGTCTATTAGATCCATGCACTCTGAAACAACTGATATTACCTGTTTGGACCATAGTAATAGTTTTCAAAGTTTTCACAACTGGAAAAAGAGAGTAGAAAAAATAGAGAGCAAGGAAGATTATTTCACTAATCCTTTATGAAGAAGCTGATAGAAATCTGGGGGACACCCCCCCCCAAGACACTTTTTAATGACTCATCAGTTAAGTATCGTCTTCAACAGTTAAGTTAGTCCCTTTCCATAAGTAGAGGTTTGCTGATTTGGTAGTAAAGATTCCAAGACCTTTCCAGTGCTGTTATATGCTTGTGCGAATGTGGGAGGAATGCTAGTGATTTGAATAAACCAGGAATTTGGCAGAGTGCACTGAAATTAATTTTTGCACTGATTTAATTGATTGCTTCTGTTCCCAAACTTTACGTGGATGGTAGTATACTTGGAGGAATAATGTATGTATTGCAGCTGTGTTACATTTCTGTAACAAGCAAAAAAGAAAGGATATGGTAGATCAAAAATGAATTAAAAAATCTTTTGGTTAGGCCTAAGTTCTACTGAGAATTTTATTCAGAAATGAAACCTTTTCTTTCCTCTAATATTTCTTCAGCTGAAATCAAAGCTACTCCTGAAATTTTTGTGAAAGTGTAATTGTAGCTTTAATATTAGCACTCACATATGTATACGTGCCCATAACAATAGGTACCCAAGTCACTGGATATTTGAGGTCTGTGCAAATTAAGCTCCCCATCCATAATTAAGAAACCAAGCCCTGGATATTTGAAGGCAAGTCACAGGCACAGCTGACTCAGCTAAACACTGGTTGTTTTTCTTCTTGCTATACACAAATGTGATTGGCATGGCACTCATCTTGAGGTAAAGAAGAAATGGAAGCAACTCAACTATGAAAGCCCTGGTTATCACCTTGAATATTTTTCTGTGCAGTTGTCTGATACATTTAAAAATTATTTGAACTGCTGAGTAAGAGAAAAATATATTTTCTGCAAATGCATTCTGACCACATTGCAGAACTGCCAGAACACTGCTCAAATAGCTTTTTAGTACTGACAGTAACAAGAACTGAATATGGCCCTTCATTTAGAAACAGCTCTTTAATTTTTATCTCTTTTATTATCACTTACATATAGATTTTTTTATTTCTTGTTATTGGCAGGCACTGACCAATGTTTTAAACTGTTAAGTGGAAGTATTTAATATATTCCAATTTTTATCTCAGCTGTTCAACATTTAATGAGAGGAGGGAGAAATCAAGCTGTTATGCTATTTAAAATTAAACTATAATGGGACTTTAAATAGGTATTTCAGGATCTAACACTCTATATTTCTTTTCCATTCTAATAAAAATAAATGATCCTCAGGAAAGACTGTAGCTGGTCTTTAGGTAGATGGAATGCAATGTCACAAAAAGAGAGGAGACAAACATTTCAGTGTAAAGCTCACTGTTCCCTGTGGACCAGTACCTCTTCTATAACAAACTCCATAGAAATGGTAAATGGAAAAATGTAACAGCACTTTCACTTACCTTTTTTGGATAGAAAGTGTTATATATTTTCTGTTGTTGCCTTACTTATATTAGTTCTTCTGCAGTTGATACCATTGGTGTATAGCCAGTGCTTAGCAATAATGGAAAAAATTGAAATTTATATAATTTAAATGTAGACAAGCTGTTGGGTGGCTGTTATAATTTCAGTTCTGGTCTTGCAGTATTAGCAAAAACTAATTGCTGTGTATGGACAGATTTTTTAATTTTATTTTTGTTTATAATAATTTAATGCGGGGAGAAAATACTTTAGCAGGAGAGCATGCAACTCATAATCAATGGGTTGCTTTTGTTCAGGTGTCATTTACCATGCACAAAGAGACTGTGTAAGCAGGATATGCACAATTTAAGTAATAATTTATCAGCTAATATGCAAAGTAGATAGCTAGGACTAACAGATTACTAGGCTAAACAGTAATATGCTTACCATTCCTGATAAGAAAACTTCTGAGTCTTAGCTGGCCAGGAAGTTTCCAATACGCTGGGGAAAGCTGGTCTCTGCCATTTGTTGGTATGGGCTGATCCTCAGCATTACTAAGTTATCTTCGCATTTTCTGCTTTTCTTTCCCTCTGTATCTTTTCTCCTGAATCTCTGACCAGCTAACTACTGTCATCCCAACAATGGTGCTTCTGTGACTTTAGAGTCTTGTCTTTCACAGCTTTAGCTCATGTAGTTTCTCACAGCTTAACAATTTTCTCAGTACAACTGGGGCAAGGTCACACAGCAACGCTGCATCAAACTAGGCCTTGGACCATGACACAGCCAAACCTCTAGGTTTGAGTGTGACATGAGGAGTGGTGGAAGGTACAAAGCTTCAAGTGATCATGAGAAAGTGCTGAAATCTACTGACGTACTGTAAAGTGTGGTTGTGTGACATCTGCTTTCTGGGAGTGTTAGTGTGTGGGCTGAGATTGCTTTGTCCTGTTGAGGAAAGAAAATACAAATGTACTTTAGTATGTGTCTTAAACCATTTGAAAGGAGGAGCATCCTTGTGGAGTTTCTGGTCACTGTGCTGACAGGCAATGGAGTACCTAACAATAATGTGAAGCAATGAAGACGCCATCTTGAAACCTTGTCTCCAGGTCACAGCCGTGCTCCAGGATGGCACAAGTGCAAAGGTAAGTTTGTTCCTCTGCAAATTTACTGTTATTTCTATGTACTTTTCTCTTCACCTCTTCTTTGATACTTGTATCTGCTGCTTAAAAAATAATTGCACCATCCACTCAGCTCCCAGGAGAAAACACCTGGATTCTACTTCCTAATTTTGACAACTGTCTGTTCGTTTTAATCTCTGTACTTCATTTTTATGGTTTGCAATAATGAACAGCAGGCTGCTCACCTAGGTTTTCCAAAAGCCTCTTTCACATTGAAAATCATCACTGCAGTACATGGCTGACGAATGCTATAGAAATGTCATTTCTGTACTTATTTTCCCTCGTAAACCTTCCGCCTCTGCCACCCCAGTTGAAAGAAACTGGCGTTAGCTCTACGGTCTGTTATTCGGTGCGTTTTAAATGAAGAATTTGGAGCTTGCGTTCGGAGGTTTACAAGTTAAGACGCAGCCCTGGGCTGGCACTTGGCGAAGGCCGGGCCTCGATGGCGGAGGACGAGGGCTGCCCCCTCAGCCTGCGGCCACCTTTGCCGGGAGCTTGCAGCCAGCTTCCCCTCGCCTCTCCAGCCTTCGCTCCCACAGCAACTTCGCCAGACTGTTTACAGTCACCTCCCCCGTCCTTCTGTTTCCCCAGCCGCCCCACGGCCGCCA